AAGCATGCCCAAGATTTGTGTGACTGGAAAGACTGCCCCTTTGGAACTTCTGCCTGTAATGCTGCAGCTAAGCAACGGGAGCCACCAGGAAGAGTGGGGGGGGGGGGCTTCTGATTATCTGGGAAAAGATGGAAGCTGAGTCTTTTAATTAAATGCAAGTACTCAAATACATACTAAAAAGCAGAGACGTCACCCTGCCAACAAAAGTGGGTATAGTCAAGGCCATGGTTTCCCCAGTTGCAATGTAGGGCTGTGAAAGTTGGACCATAAGAAAGGCTGAGAGCCAAAGAATCGAGGCCTTTGAACTATGGTGCTGGAGAAGACTCCTGCGAGTCCCCTGGACTGCAAGGCGTTCAAACCGGTCAGTCCTGGAAGAGATCAACCCCGACTGCTCTTTAGAAGGTCAGATCCTGAAGTTGAAACTCAAGTACTTTGGCCACCTAATGAGAAGGAAGGATTCACTGGAGAAGGGCCTAATGCTGGGAAAGATTGAGGGCAATAGAAGAAGGGGACGACAGAGAATGAGGTGGCTGGATAGAATTACTGTGAAGCAGTAGGCGTGAGCTTAAATGGACTCCAGAAGATGGTAGAGGACAGGAAGGCCTGGAGGAACATTGTCCATGGGATCGCGATGGGTCGGACACCACTTCGCAACTAACAACAACAACTGTATTTAAAAACGCTTGGTGTTTGCTCTCCTGAGCATGGTGGGTCTTTCAAGGGTGAAAGCTATGGAGGGCATATTCCCAGAGCGGCCATATGGCACCTGAGAAGGGGGGGGAATGGTAAACAATAAAAGTCCCTTCCTGCTCCCCCTCTTCCTCTCTCTCCCTCTCTCCAACAGAGCCAGCCTTTGGAATTCCCCCATGCGGGTTGGGGCTCAGCAGCCAGTGTGGCAAGGTGGTTTTTCCTTGTTTTTAAGGGGAGGAGGGAGGCCCATCCTTAGCTTTGCAAGGTTTCAGGGAAGGAGAAGCTGCTTGTGTCAATGGGAAGCTCAAGGTGCACAAGTGGTCCTCAACTTACAACTGTTCACTTAGTGACCGTTCAGTTACAACGGCACTGAAAAAGGTTACTCATGACCGTTTTTCAGTTACAACCTGTGCAGCACCCCCATGATCATGTGATCAAATTTCAGACGCTTGACCCCTGGTTCATTTTATGACGATAGCTGTGACCCAAGTTCACGTGATCCCCTTTTTGCGACCTTCCAACCGGCAAAGTCAATGGGGAAGCGAGTTTCACTTAACAACCGGGTTACTAACATATCAACTGCAGTGGTTCACTTAACAACTGTGGCAAGATTATAAAATGGGGCAAAGCTCACTTAACCGATGTCTCACTTAGCAACAGAAATTTTGGGCTCCATTGTGGTCGTAAGTCAAGGACTACCTGTATTATCTGACGTATCACATACAGCAGGGGTATCAAACTCAATTTCACTGAGGGCCGAATCAGCATTGCAGTTGCCCTGGGGGGGCCAGGGGTGTGTGGCCAGAATGGGTGCAGCCTAATAGGTGGGTGTGGATGGAGTGGGTCTGGCCTACTGGGTGGGCATGGCCAGTTCTACATCATTCACGTCAAGGGTGCCTATGGGGGGCCTGGGCAGAAGTGGGACAGATCTGAGGGTCTCTGGCAGAAGGGGATGGGACCGGGGCAAGTGCCAAGGCATGGCCCACCGTGGCAAGTGCCAAGATGGCCACCACAAAATTGTACATTGGCTCCCAGCTGGCCTGGGCCAGGGCCAAGGCAGCGGGGGCCGTTCCCTCACTGTTTCCAGGATTGCTTCGTGAGCTACATGAAACCACTTTGCGGGCTGCATCCGGCCCCCGGGGCTTGTGTTTGACATGTCTGACATACAGTATGTACATGTATGCAATAGGGATGTGGGAAGAATCTAGAGAAGGAAATATTTTGGGGAATATTAAAAAGGCAGAATGTTTTATTTCCCCAAAGGATCTTAAAGGCAAAAAAGCAAGGCCAGTTTTTCTTAATAGCCCCAAGCAGAAACTAGGCAGAGGCCAGGTCTGTAGAAATGCAAATGTGATCATCCATTCAGGAAGGTTGGAGCCAGGAAGATAGAAGTTGATGAGATTAAGAAGACAAAGACCCCTAAAATCTACATACCCCCACCCAAACTCTAAGAACAGAAAACATAATAGGATTAACCCACCAATACCAAAAGGATGAACTGAGTCTCAGGTTAAAGTACACGACACAGGAAATACAAAGTCTCAAACAGGAACAGGAAACCACCTCAAAAGACCCAGAAGGTATAAAAACCCACCTACATGTGGTCAGTTTTTCCCAGAGCCATCTTTCTGTCTGGCTCTCCTCTTCAATAAACTGCAACCTTCTTTCTAAAGCTGTCTCCATTTTGTTTATTCCCAGCTTGGACTGGACCCTGATGAAGATTTTTCTTTCAAGGGGAATATGTGAATATATCCGAGTTTCTGTATACATGTACAGTATATGCATATGTGGCTTATGCATGTGAATCTATATCATGTTGGCAGGTGCGTTGGATAGGTCTGTTGCCTTACTTGTGAAAATAATAAAGGCGGGAGATAAATAAGTACATTTTAATAAAATATCTAGTGTACTTGCTATCTCCTGTTGTAGTTTTTCAAAACTAGCCTCTTCTTTTTTGAGCTTTCCTAGAATGGAACCTTCCTTTTTACCATTTTGTACAAACAACAATTAAGCACCAAAAATCTAATGGCAGCTGTGCAAAAGCTAGCCCCAAGTGTGCACACTAGCCACCCACTAACCAAAATTTACCTTGCATTAAGCGCAACCCAGTGTCAGTTTATAATCTACCATAAACCCAGTATCACCCTATTTGAATTCACACTAATTGTGACCTACCTGTATAGATATTCCTAGGCCAGGGGTAGGCAGCCTTGGCCCTTTTTCTGACTCGTGGACTTCAACTCCCAGAATTCCTGAGCCAGCATGGCTCAGCTTGGAAACCTCTCCCTTTCCCCTCAGCATGGCTGGCTCAGGAATTCTGGGAGTTGAAGTCCACGAGTCATAAAAGAGCCAAGGTGGCCTACCCCTGCTCTAGACTAACCAAACTCAAATTCTGCAACCGTTCTTCCATTTAATCTGTTCAAAATTACAACGGCACTGAAAAAAACAGTGACCTTCCTCAACTCTCCATTGCAACACCCTCCTGGTCACATGATCAAAGTTTGCGTGCTTGACAACAGGTTCCGTATTTATGATGCTTGTGGTGTCTCCCAGGATCATGTGATCCCCTTTTGCGTCCTCCTGACAAGCCAAGTCAATGGGGAAGCCAGATTCGCTTAACAACTGGATTACTAACTTTACTAACGACAGCAGTGAATCACTTAACAACTGTGGCAAGAAAGGTTGTAAAATGAAACAACATTCACTTAACAACGGTCTTGCTTAGCAATAGAAATTTGGGGCTCCATTTGTGGTCGTAAATCAAGGACTACCTGTACTTCTAGTTTCCAGAAAAAAAGGCCACACAGAGAAGCACAAACAACCGAGGCAGGTATAGGCCACCTTGGCTCTTTTATTGACTTGTGGACTTCAACTCCCAAAATTCCTAAGCCAGCCATGCTGAGGGGAAAGGGAGAGGTTTCCAAGCTGAGCCATGCTGGCTCCGGAATTCTGGGAGTTGAAGTCCACAAGTCATAAAAGGGCCAAGTTTGAAAACCCCTGAATTAAATCAATCAGTTAATCCATCCGTGGCTGCTGACCAGGGGTAGGCAACTGTGGCTCTTTTCTGATTTGTGGACTTCAACTCCCAGAATTCCTGAGCCAGCCACGCTGAGGGGAAAGGGAGAGGTTTCCAAGCTGAGCGAGGCTGGCTCAGGAATTCTGGGAGTTGAAGTCCACGAGTCATAAAGGAGCCAAGGTGGCCTACCCCTGAACCAAGGCCTTATGACTCCCACATTCACTTTACAACTGCTGGGCTTACTTGACAACCACTGTATTAAAGGTTGTAAAATCGGAAGCAGTCACATGATGACCCACTGTACAACTGTTATGACTTACAACCAAAATGGCAGGTTCAATTACGTAAGACGAGGACTATCTGTAAAGACAAAGTAATGAAGAACGAGAAGCAAGATAGGAGGTTTAAGAAGATGGTCCACTTGCAGTCTTAGAAAAGGGGGAGTTATTTGTAGGGGGCTCAAAAAAGCCAAGCTGGGGGCCCACAGTCATGTGATCAAAGCTCTGCCCCTTTTAAATCTATCTGTAAAAAGAGGCAGGGCTTCTGCTGTATAAGGTTGCAGTGGCCATCTTGACTTTTTTGACCTCTCCTGCAGAAGCTGCTGAACATAACTCAAATTTCGGGGGGAAAAAATAGTTTGCAATTTAAAAGTTGCCAAAGTTTGAAGCCCATGTCAAAGCAAGGCTCAATGAAACCACACAGCCAACAGCCATCTATTTATTACAAAATACATAATAATAATAATAACCACACATAATAATTCATGAAAATCACAATGTACTGGGTTTGACGAATGTAATCTAATTAAATTCATCTTGGGTTTATCTGCCGATTTTGCCAAGCAAGCTCCGGACCCTCATGTGGATTGGAGTGGGAAAAATTATGGCTTCTCTCCTTATTAAATTTTTTTCCCCTCATGCATAATTAGAACAGATCCATTTCTAAGGTTACTTTTTCTACCCTCCTCTATTCTGGATTCTAGTTAGATTTAGAGCAGTGGTTCTCAACCTGTGGGTCAGGACCCCATTTGGGGTCGAACGACCATTTCACGGGGGTCGCCAAACAACGCAGTCCGCCATTTTTTTCCCCTTTTCCTTGGCTGTGCTACTCCCTTTTATTTTATTGGCTTTTGAAAGCCAATAGAATAGACTCTCTTGAATCTAATTCTATTGGCATTCAAAAGCCAATAGGAATTGTCCAGGCTGTCTCTACCCTGCTGAGCCCGCCAAAAGTCCCATTCTGCAAACGGTGCTGCACCAGTTGAGTAGTCCTCGACTTACGACCGGTTGAGTAGTCCTCGACTTACGACCGGTTGAGTAGTCCTCGACTTACGACCGGTTGAGTAGTCCTCGACTTACGACCGGTTGGAGGTCGCGGCATTAAAAAGGTTGAGAACCACTGATTTAGAGAGAATCGGCTTGGTGGCAGCAGAAAAAAATTAGTTTTTCCTCCGATCTTGGATGCTCTCTCACACACATCCAGCAAGCCCGCTAGTAAACACGCCCACACCCACCAGCCTGAGACAACACCAATCATTACACTTTTAAGACCTCCCCCTCTTTGTGGGTCCGTTTATGGACCACTAAGTGCGCGCTGCAGGTAAAACACCTGCCGCAAATCAGACAGGAATAGGGTTTCTCCCCCGTGTGGATTCTCTGGTGCTGCATGAGGTGCGCGCTCTGGCTGAAACTCTTCCCACAAGTGCCGCATTTATAGGGTTTCTCGCCCGTGTGGGTCCGCTCGTGCTTCACCACATCCGAACTGGTGGTGAAGCTTTTCCCACACAGGGAGCATTTGTAGGGTTTCTCCCCGGTGTGGATCCTTTTGTGCTTCACCAGGTCTGAGCTGGAGCGAAAGCTTTTCCCGCAGGCCGGGCATTTGCAGGGCTTCTCGCCCGTGTGAGTCCTCTCGTGCTGGGTGAGGATCATGCTCTGACTGAAGCACTTCCCGCAGTACGAGCATTTGTACGGTCTCTCCCCCGTATGGCTCCGCTGGTGTTTCACGAGACCCGAATTAGAAGCAAAACTCTCCCCGCAGGTGAGGCAGGTGTACGGCTTCTCTCCCGTGTGGGTCCTCTCGTGCTGGATCAGGTTCGAGCTGCGCTTGAAGCTTTTCTCGCAGAGGGAGCAATTGTAGGGTTTTTCCTCCGTGTGGGTCTTTTTGTGGTTGACAAAGTTTGAGCTGGTGGTGAAACGTTTCCCGCACTCGGGACACTGGTAGGGCCGCTCCCCCGTGTGGGTCCTTTGGTGGGTCATGAGATGGGCGTTGGAGCAGAAGCTTTTCCCGCAGAGGAAACACTTGTACGGCTTCTCCGCCGTGTGGAAGCGCTCGTGAACGATCAGGTAGGATCGTTGATTGAACCGCTTCTCGCACACTGTGCACTTATAGGGCTTCTCCCCCGTGTGGATCCTCTCGTGTTTCACGAGATCCGAGCTCTGGTGGAAGCTCCTGCCGCAGTCGGCGCACTTGTACGGCTTCTCGCCCGAGTGGTTTCGTTTCTGGTGGCTGATCAGGCTGGAGATGCTACAGAAGCTTTTCCCGCAATCGGAGCATATATATGACGTCCCTTCGATGGAATTCCCTTCTTCCAGCCCGGGGATCATGCCTGGCAGGCCCACCGATCCGTGCTGGAGCTCACAGATCCCTTCCACTTTGTGGAAAGCCGAAAGGTCTGGGGCCGTTTCCAGGAATGAAACACACGGTTCCAGGAATCCAGGCTTCTTCACATCCCCGGTTTCTCCATTATCATCCATCTGTCCACCAGCCCCTTATTTCGTTAGAAAGAAAAACAAAGAAAAATTAATTGGGTGACGTTCCAGAAGAATATCCAGGCAGTCCTCGACTTAACGACCGCAACTGAGTTCAAAATTTCTGTTGCTGAGTTAAGCGATTTTTGCCCCGTTTTGCGACCTTTCTTGCTGCAGATGCTAAGTGAATCACTGCAGTCGTTCAGTGACAGTCACACGGTTTTAAAGTGGGTCTGGCTTCCCCATTTGAATTGATTTGTCAGAAGGTCGCAAAAGGCGATCAAGGACCCTGGAACCCTGCATCCGTCATAAATAGGAGCCAGTTGCCAAGCCTCTGAATTTTGATCACATGACCTTGGGGATGCTACAACGGTCGCAGATGCAAAACGGCCGTAAGTCCCTTTTTTTTTTTTGTAGTGCTGTTGTAACTTTGAACAGTCACGAAATGATCTGTTGTAAATCGAGGACTACCGTATTTTCCGGCGTATAAGACAACTTTCTAAAGCGCGGAAATCGGCGCCGAAGTTGGGGGTCGTCTTATACGCTGAGTCGTCTTATACGCCGGAAATTACGGTAGTTTCTGGCGTATAAGACGACTTTCTAGGCATGGAACTCGGCGCCAAAGTCGGGGGTCATCTTATACGCCGGGTCGCCTTATATGCTGGAAAATATGGTACACGTAATCTATTGACTTGATGATCGAGAAAGAGCCCGCTGCAGGTCCACATTCCTGGTGAAGCAGATGAGGTGTGTACGCCCCCACAGGCCTTTTTAGGGGTGCCCTCATGTTATGGAATTCTCTCCCTTGGGAAGTAGAGACGTCCCAGTCTAGTGTCACTTTAAAAACTAGCTAAAGTACTTTTGTTCCTGCAGGAGGCAGTAGTTGGTCCTTTAATCCAGAGGTCCCCAACCTTTTGGGCACCAGGGACCGGTTCCGTGGAGAAAAGTTTTTCCGTGAACCAGAGAGTGTGTGGTTTTGTGTTTTGCCTATATCCCACGGATGGGGCTTTGCTTGTTTGTGCGGACCAGTTGCTGGCATGCTGCAGCCCGGTACCAGTCCACGGATCGGGGGGGTTGGGGACTCCTGCTTTAATCTAAGGATGATCTCTGCAATACTTGATTTGAATGGTCTCTGCAGTGTATTAGATGTTGATGAGCTTTTATTGTATCTCATTCTTAATGTTTTGCTTTTTTTTTTCTTGATTGTGCTCTTCCAAGAGCCCACTGGCTGGGATTGTAATGGGCTGTAAGAATAACCTTGGGAGACAGCAGGAAGAGCTGCAGCTTTAAGCTTTAAGCTTCAACCTTGGCAGCTTTAAGACGCAGGAACTTCGATTCCTAGAACTCCCCAACCAGCATGAATTCTGGGAGTTGAAGTCCACACATCTTAAAGTTGCCAAGGTTGAGAAACATTGGCTTAGACCAGGGGTAGGCCACCTTGGAGCTTTTATGACACATGGACTTCAACTCCCATCATTCCTGAGCCAGTCATGCTGAGGGGAAAGGGAGAGGTTTCCAAGCTGAGCCATGCTGACTCAGGAATTCTGGGAGTTGAAGTCCACGAGTCATAAAACAGCCAAGGTTGCCTATCCCTGGCCTAGACCAGGAGTCTCCAAGCTTGGCAACTTTAAGACCTGTGGACCAACTCCCAGAATTCCTCAACCAACCATGGCAGGCTGAGGAATTCTGGGAGCTGAAGTCTACAAGTCTTAAAATTGCCAAGTTTGGAGACCTCTGGCCTAGGCAATGGTCAGACAAGAGCTCTCTAAACTCACAGAAGAAATGGGAGCATGGAAAACACCTCAGGAAATATCATGGGGTTGGAGTAGAAGACCTCCAAGGTCCCTTCCAACTGTTATTCTATCTAACTCAAAGCAATGGAAGGATGGCTGTTCTCCCTGGTCTTGGAGCTGCAGTGGCTGGGCCGTTCTAGGATGTTTTGTTGCCATAGAGTTTGCCATCCAGATGCTTATGATGTTTTTTTTTTATTGTTTTTACTTTTTTTAATGTAAGATTCATCTGGAGTCAGGCTGTCTTGACTTACAAGCATTTGTTTAATGACTGTTCAAAGTTACAACGCCACCGAGAAACACGACCGTTTTTCACACCTACAACCACAGCAGCACCCCCCCCATGGTCACATGATCAAAATTCAGACGCTTGGCAACTGACTCGTATTTATGATGGCTGCAGTGCCCCGGGGTCACGTGATCATCTTTTGCGACCTTCGGACGAGTAAAGTCAATGGGGAAGCCAGATCCACTTAACAACCATGTCGCTAACTGAACAGCTGCAGTGACTCACTTAACAACAAGGAAGGTCCTAAAATGAGGCAAAGCTCGCTGAACAACTGTCTTGCTTAGTAACGGAAATTTTGAGCTCAATTGTGGTCATTGAGGGCCGCATCAGCATTGCGGTTGCCCTGGGGGGAGCAGGTGGGTGCGGCCAGGGTGGATGCGGCCTACTGGGTGGGCGTGGATGGAGTAGGTGTGGCCTACTGGGTGGGCATGGCCAACTCTACATCATTTGCGTCAAGGGTGCCTGTGGGGGCCTGGGCAAGAGTGGGACAGATCTGAGGGTCTCTGGCAGAAAGGGGTGGGACCGGGGCAAGCGCCAAGGCATGGTCCATTTCTTCATTCCTCACAAAGGGTGACACCTCCCCAGCATGCACCCAGGGGGTGAGGCCGACACAGCAGGGGCTGGTTCCTCGCTGTTTCTAGACCAGTGGGTCTCAACCTTTTTAATGCCGCGACCCCCAACCGGTCGTAAGTCGAGGACTACTCAACCGGTCGTAAGTCGAGGACTACTCAACTGGTGCAGCACCGTTTGCAGAATGGGACTTTTGGCGGGCTCAGCAGGGCAGAGACGCCTGGACAATTCCTATTGGCTTTTGAAAGCCAATAGAATTAGACTCTATTCAAGAGAGTCTATTCTATTGGCTTTCAAAAGCCAATAGAATAAAAGGGAGTAGCACAGCTAAGGAAAAGGGGGGAAAAATGGCGGACTGAGTTGTTTGGCGACCCCCGTGAAATGGTCGTTCAACCCCAAATGGGGTCCCGACCCACAGGTTGAGAACCGCTGTTCTAGACCTTGTGGAACTAAGACTGAATGCATTTCAGCATAGATGGCCACCACAAAATTATACATTGGCTCCCGGCTGGCCTGGGCCAGGGCCAAGGCAGAGGGGGCCGTTCCCTCACTGTTTCCAGGATGGCTTCGCAGGCCACATGAAACCACTTCACGGGTCGCATCCGGCCCCTGGGCCTTGTGTTTGACATGTCTGTCCTAGAGAACTGACTCTCTCTTGGAAAGACACCCAGCGATCCAAATAAAGATCTTACTTCGGTCCAAAATATCACGTTGGGCTATTCAATTTCTCTATACCAAGACAGACGGTGGAAGAAAAGGGAAAGAGCATGATCATTATAAATAGGTTTATTTCAAATGACTAAGACTCCAAAACAGGAGTGTTTTCCCTTCTTACGTGTTTATTTGATAATGAGAAGAAAAAAAAAAAGCTAGACAAAGGCTCCATTGTAAGCTGCATAGCTTGGCAGGAAAAAAAAACCTGTCACTGAAGATAAATAAAGCACTGGGCCTGGCAAACACCCATCCCCAAGTAGCTTTTGCACCTCTGAACACAAATCTTTGATGAAGATAATTGCAGGCAGCCAGAGTTGCCTCTTCTGTTCTTTTCAAACACTGCACATCTGCCTGTCCAGCCAGGGTCTAGCAAACAGGGTTTGGCTTGTTCTCCCAAAAGTGCATTCTGGTTCTTTTCATTCAAGGTTGAGAAGCCAAACTTAGTCTGGGGAGGGTGTTCAATCTTGGAGCCCCACTAATGTGACTAAAGGGACAGAAGCTCCTTTCCTTTTGTCCAATGCACCATCAAATCAAATCCAGCAAGGTCTTAACAAAACAGTGGAGGGGGGGGGGAAGAACAGCTGTCAATCCTTTCATGACTTTCACTTACCCTCTGGAACAACACAGCCCCCCCAAATGAGGTCAGCCCCCAGCCCTCAGGACCTTCCAGAAAGCCCTTAAAACATGGTTGTTGATTTTTCCAACAAGCTGGAGATCCCATCACTGGGAGCTTGCCCGTTGGTTGTATTTCTAAGCCCTCTTCCCTCCTGGCCTTGTTTATTTAAGAGAAATAACAGAACAGCAGAGTTGGAAGGGACCTTGGAGGTCATCTAGTCCAACCCCCTGCTAGAGCACGACATTTTATACCAGGGGTTGAAGTCCACAAGTCATAAAAGGGCCAGGTTTGAAGACCCCTGTCTTATACCATTTCAGGTAAGTGGTTGTCCAATCTCTTTTAAAAAGCCTCCAGTGATGGAGCACCCACAACTTCAGAAGGCGAGCCCTTCCGCTGGTTGACTGTTCTATCGGGAAATTTATTTTGATCGTTACTGAAATACATTTTGATTGTTGCTAAGGGTTGGCAACAAAACGTTTGCAACTTAATGTTTTAATTCCTGGTTCGATTGCACGCACGCACATGCACACGCGCACACATACAAATCCAGAGCCACTTCGTGAGAGATGAGCACTCAGGTAAATGTGATCAATAAACGCACCTTTGGGACAGCCATGACCTGGATGACTGAGAATCTCCATAGAGAAATAAATAAAATAAAGGCATCCCAGTTTGAGGATTGGCTGCGCGCACACACACACACACACATACACACCATTTCCCCCATTGCAAGGAAAAGCTTGACATCTGTCTGCTTCTGCAGAGCTCAAATCAGGTTTAAGGCAGGGAAGCAAAGGGAACTTTTATTTTGGGGGATTCCCTGTTCCCCACTTAAAGGGAGCGGGGGAAGACCCGACCCCTTTCCCCTCCCTTTCCCCAGTTCAGCGGCTGCGCTCCCTCCCCTCCCCATCTCATTCACCCTCCTGTCTCTCCCCCCCCTTCCCCTCCCCAAGCTCCTTTTGTCTGCAATCCAGCCGCGGGAAAAACGGCGGCGCCTCCTCCCCGTTCAGCCCCACCTGCAAGGTGCGCCGCGGAAGCCGCTAATCCGAAGAGCCGCGGCGATCGCAAATGCCGCCAGGCGGGCCAGCCTCCGCCGGAGCGATGGGAAGGGCGCCGGCGGGGGGGGGAACGAGAGAGGAGGAAGTCGCGTGGAGGGGGAATGGAAGGGAGAAGGAACAGGAAGTGGCCTTCGTTTTTATCGCCCCCCTCGCTCGCTCGCGCTTTCGTACGGTCTCTCTAGGAATCGGGATGGAAGGCTCGACTGCCCATCTCCCCCCCCCCCCGAACGTTCCAATAATAGGGGATCGGACAAGTCTGAACTATAAAGAACGGCGCCTAACAGATACGCTGGACTCCAGCATCCATCTTGCTCAGTTATGGGCGCTGGAGTCTGAAATGGGATAGGATCTCCTGCTTGAGGAAGGGGTTGGACTGGAAGGCATGCAATGTCCCTTCCAGCTCTGTTCTGATTGATTGAGCTTGCAACTTGCCAAGTGCCAGGCTGCAGAAGGCTGATTTCATGGGTGGAGGGTGATTTGATCTTTTTTGAAGGCACCTGGCTGGACTGAATGTTCAGCAGTTGGAAAAGCAGAGGCTTGAGTCTTTCGTGTCTCTTTCTCTTAATTTCAACTGGGTTAGCCATCCAGAGTGGCTTAATGGGGCTGCCTGGTTCCTTCAGCGAGAAACCACCTCCTCTCCTTCTGTAGCTGCACATCAACTTTCTTCAGCATATGATAAACAGAGAATTAGAAATTAAAAGATCTGCCAGCAAACCTCAAAATAAATGCATAGAGAAAAAAAAACCCCTCTCGGTTTGCATTTGACACTTGGGCTAAAATTAGTTAAGAGCACTTCATTGGCTCCCTCAAAGAAATGGAATCCCTTCAATATAAGGAGAAATGACAGTTTGACCCCCCCCCCCCTCTGACTTGGTTATCTCAGATTCGTTTGAGAATAAAGTGCATGGACACCTTAGGGCCCTACAGAGCAAGGATTCTTCACCAACCCATGAGAGATGGTGACCGAGGGGCTGAACAGCAGTTAGAGCCGAGGTGGCGCAGCAGTTAAGAGTGCAGTACTGCAGGCCACTTTAGCTGACTGTGTTCAGCAAGTCAGCGGTTCAAATCTCACCGGCTCAAGGTTGACTCAGCCTTCCATCCTTCCGGGGTAGGTAAAATGAGGACCCAGATTGTTGGGGGAAAGGTAAATATATATGTACATTGCTTACTGGTGTACACCGCTTAGAGAGTGCTTGCACTTAAAGCGGTATATAAGCGTCATAAATAAATAAATAATAAGCTCCAGAATTCATCCCTGATGCTATGATGATGATGATGATAATAAAGTTGGAAGGGACCTTGGAGGTCATCTAGTTCTTTGGGATTGGGCGGTATATAAATAAAATTAAATAAATAAATAAATAAATAAATAGTCTAACCCCCTGCTCAGGCAGGAAACCCTATACCATTTTGGACAAATGGCTGTCCAGTCTCTTCTTAAAATCTTCCAATGTTGGAGCATTCACAGCTTCTGGAGGCAGGTAGTTCCATTGGTTAATTGTTCTCACTGTCAGGAAGTTTCTCCTTAGTTCTAGATTGCTTCTCTCCTTTATTAGTTTCCATCCGTTGCTTCTCGTCCTGCCTTCAGGTGCTTTGGAGAATAGCTTGACTCCCTCTTCTTTGTGGCAGCCCCTCTCGTCTTGTGCTTTCCTCTATTCTAAATAAGGGGGAAAAAATTCCTATCTTCATGCCTTTCTTAATAAATCTAGCTTTTATTTCAAATATAATGAACCCCTGTAGCATTCACTGACAGCTGGGCTATATACTGCATATGTAAAACAAATTAACATTTTTAACTTGACAACCTATGATTCCTTTTGGATCATCTTTCTTTCCACATCTAGAACTGGTGGAATCTGCTCAAAGAGCAGAGAGTAGTTGTGGACACGAGGGCCTTTGTGCAGCTTCAGTTGGTGCACCAGTTGCCAATAATGTAATATTTACACTATAAAAAACACAAACTTTTTTTTAACCCAAAAGGCATCCCAATTAATTGAGCAATACATTTATGTTTTGTTTTGTTTTTTAAAAAAACATTTTTAATACAGATGCTTATGAGAACTGCAACCAATGGGCATCCATTTTTGAAAATGTGCTCCCGCCCTTCCTGTCACCTTCTACAAAGTACTATAATGGGATCCAAGGCCAAGAGACAGACATCTGCCCTTGTTATGATTTTAAGATGATATAATTGCATGTAAATATTGGCAGATTAAGCTTTTTGGATTAAGATTTGGTGGAACATTCAAAAGGTTTTTAAGAGAAAGTTTTCACCACAACTATTTTTGTTAGGTATTATTGTAGATTGTGATGTTAAAGAAACTATTTTAAATCTTATTACAGCTGCAAGGTTATTGGTTGGGCAATATTGGAGGAAAGATTCTTTGCCCACTATAGAAGAATGGTCATTTAAAGTTTCTAACTTAGCAGAAATGGCCAAAATTTCGGCTTATTTGAAGGATCATTCACAAGAAAGATACATCTCGGTGTGGAGAAGATGGATAAATTATGTACAGAATAAATATGGGACTAGAAAGTATCATTTAGCTTTTGAATAACTTATAGTTTAAAGTGGGAATTGTTTATTGTATTTGAGTTAAAGTATTTTATGGACTTGATTATTGGTATAGTTGGTTAAGCTTAGTTAGAATTTGTTTGCTTATTTGTAACCCTGTAATCAGCTCTGGGAAGTGAGGGGGGCTTAGGGTTAGGGTGGGGGGAGGGAGGGAGGGGTTTTTGTATTGTAATAAAATGAAAAATTGGTATAAAACTTTCCAATAAAAAAAATATTGGCAGATTTAAATTTCTAAACAGCTGTCTGAATTGCACTGAATTGAATTGCACTGAAGACTCAGATTTCAATTCAACACACCTCTCCATCTGGGCACCTGGAGATACACTCAGTGGGAGCCGCCTGAGTTTTGAATAGCCAGGATAGTAGCCCTCAAAGCCTGAATCTTTCCACTCCCCCACCCTCCAGTCCGAGCTGAAGAAGCTTCTTGGATGAGAAGCAAAACGTCTTCACAGAAAAACAAGAAGGTCCAGTTGCCTCTTGAAAAAGCACCTTTAGGATCTGAACCTATTTCCATCTTACATGTTCTCAAGCAGAGCTGTGTGCCCACATACTGTTAAGGATGAGAAGTGAAATGTACATGCTTGGAAGACTGAAACAGGGCCTAAAGTTGGGTATTTAAAATAACACACAGAAGGGTGGTCATGAGGTATAACGGAAGATAAAACTGAGTTTAAAAAGCGAGAACATCTTGATTAAAACAAAATATAAAGCAAACATTAATGGGATTGAAAACATTGCAAAGCATGTCTTTTTGTCATATGTCCTAATGGGAGACTTTTTCTTCTAGTGCCGTGGTGGCTAACCTATGGCATGGGTGCCAGAGGCAGCACTCAGAGCCCTCTCTGTGGGCACGCACATCGTCGCCCCAGTCCTAGGCCTTCAGCTGGGTTTTATAAAACCTTTTTGCTTTAGTCCTCCGCTGCCGTGTACAAAAAAAAAAAGGTTCAATCAATCAATTTCAACTTCTCGCGGGAAAAAAAAGATCTCACAAAGTTGGAATTGATTGATTGAACTTTTTAGTCCCACCCAGTCTGCCGTTACCACCGCAGTCATGCCCACCCAATGGACCACGTCCACCCGGCACCGGACGATACATAAGTGGGTTTTGGGTTGCAGTTTGGGCACTCGGTCTCTAAAAGGTTTGCCATTGTGGACCACCTACTCTTCTTCCTTTGAGCCCTGAGAATCACAATCACCTTTGCAAATTAACAAAGGCCAATTCTTGGTAGCCTCTGGTTGTAACCATCCAGCAATGCACATTTGCTATTGACACGCTTGGTTATTGACGCCCAACAAGTCCCAAGTCAGACCATCAAAGTCCAACAGTTCCTAAATTGACCCTCTTCCTTGAGTAGCCATGCCCACCTCAGCCAAATGAGTCTTCTCGTGTTTCGTCAGTTTTGACCTCTGCGTGTAACTCTTCCCGCAAACTGAGCACCGGTAGGGCTTCTTGCCCGTGTGAGTCCTCAAGTGGAGCGTCAGCCCTGAGCTCTGGCTGAAGCTCTTCCTGCAGGCCAGACATGCATAGGGCCGCTCCCCAGTGTGGGTCCTCTCGTGTTTGATAAGGCCAGAGTGGTGCCGGAAGCTCCTCCCGCAGACCGAACACTTGTAGGGCTTCTCCCCGGTGTGGGTTCTCTCGTGAGCAATCAGCGTTGAGTTGTGGCTGAAGGAGCGGCCACACTCCGAGCAGATGTAGGGTTTCTCTCCGGTGTGGGTGATCTCGTGCCTCACCAGATCGGAGCTCCAGAGGAAAGTCTTCCCGCAGTCTGAGCACGGAAGGGTTTGACTCCCGTGTGAGTTTTCTCGTGCAAGATCAGATTGGACCTTTGGCTGAAGCTTTTCCCACAATTGGTGCATGAGTAGGGTCTCTCCCCGGTATGGATTCGCTTGTGGAACCGAAAAGCTGAGCTCTTATTAAAGCTCTTCCCACATGTTGGACACCGATAGGTCTTCTCTCCCCCCAAAACCTGCTGTTCCAAGATGGAAAGACTGCCCCTTGGATGGTACCCTTGCCCGCTGCTCATGGAAGGGCACAACCCCTCCTCCCTAGTGTGGATCCTCTCATGCTTCGTCAAGCTGGAGTAGACACTAAAGTTTTCTCCACAGGTTACACACCTGTAAAGCTCCTCTCCTCGATCAAAACTTTCCTGCTTTGTAGGAACCGAGTCCTTCCCGCAGTCTGAACATCGCGAAGGCTCGTCCCCATGCGCGACTGGGCTTAAGCTGTGACGGGGGCTTTTCCCACCGCTTGAACAGCTACAGGATTGCTTTCCCTTGAGGATGCCTTGAAGGTTAGGGAAGAGCACCCTCTGGCTGGGGGTGGCCGCAGAGTCTAAGGCAGTGGTTCTCAACCTGTGGGTTGGGACCCCATTTGGGGTCGAACGACCATTTCACGGGGGTCGCCAAACAACGCAGTCCGCCATTTTTCCCCCCCTTTTCCTTAGCTGTGCTACTCCCTTTTATTCTATTGGCTTTGGAAAGCCACTAGAAGAGACTCTCTTGAATAGAGTCTCATTCTATTGGCTTTCAAAAGCCAATAGGAATTGTCCAGGCTGTCTCTGCCCTGCTGAGCCTGCCAAAAGTCCCATTCTGCAAACGGTGCTGCACCAGTTGAGTAGTCCTCGACTTACAACCGGTTGAGTAGTCCTCGACTTACAACCGGTTGGGGGGGGGTCGCGGCATTAAAAAGGTTGAGAACCACTGGTCTAAGGACTTACAACATTTGGTATCTATTGAGGCATCTGGACTGTGGCCCAGCTTATTCTCCGCCCTTCTGCAGGACTCCAGTTTCTCCGACGTGGACCTTGGTTGCCTGCGAGTGGTGGGTTCATCCTCTTGCAAAACAGAGATGTTAGCATTTTGAACTGGGATGCCCTCACGCTTTCGGTTCCTCCAGGAAATGCCTCTCTCTCTTCCAGGCAGTGTCTGGCAAACCTCTGCCTGCTTTTGAATTCCCGCAGGAGAAATCTCTCATTCGCAAGATTCCTCGCTGTCTCCTAAAAAAGAGACAAAGATTTTAAAAAAAACAAAGATACAAAGACAGATTAGGGGAGACCTGGCTTAAAAACAGTAACTGTGAGAGGGACCTTGGAGTCCTGGTGAATGATCACTTGATTATGAGCCAGCGGTGTGCAGCAGCAGCCAAAAAAGCTAATACAATCCTGGGTTGTATAAACAGAGGCATAGAATCAAGATCACGCGAGGTATTAGTACCGCTTTATAAAACCCTAGTAAGACCACACTTGGAATACTGCAGCCAATTTTGGTTACCATATCCCAAAAAAGATGTTGAGACCTTGGAAAAAAATCAGAGAAGAACAACGAAGATGATCAAAGGCCTGGAGACTAAAACATACAAAGAACGGCTGCGGGACTTGGGTTTGGCTAATCTAGAGAAAAGAAGAAATAGCGGAGACATGATAGCAGTGTTCCAGTATCTGAGGGGCTGCCACTAGGCAGAGGGGGTCAGGTGTTCACCAAAGCACCAGAGGGCAGGACGAGAAACAATGGTTGGAAGCTGATCAAAGAGAAAAGCAACCTGGAATTAAGGAGAAACTTCCTGACAGTGAGGACAATCAACCAGTGGAACAGTTTGCCTCCAGAAATTGTGGGCGCTCCATCACTGGAGATTTTTAAGAAGAGACTGGACATCTCCTGCTTGAGCAGGGGGCTGGACTAGAAGACCTCCAAGGTCCCTTCCAGTTCTATTCTATTCTAAATTGCACACAGTTCTGGAAAGGGTAAAGGTAAAAGTATCCCTTGTTCAGTTGTGTCCGACTCTAATGGGCAGTGCTCTTCTCTGTTTCCTAGCCAAAGCGTTTTCCTAAGACAGGGGTAGGCAACCTTGGCTCTTTTATGACTCGTGGACTTCAACTCCCAGAATTCCTGAGCCAGCCATGCTGAGGGGAAGGGGAGAGGTTTCCAAGCTGAGTCATGCTGGCTCAGGAATTCTGGGAGTTGAAGTCCACGAGTCATAAAAGAGCCAAGGTTGCCTACCCCTGGTTTAGGCTAAACCAATTGTGTGAATCTGGCCTCTGTTCTTTGGAAATCCAGGCTTAGCAAGGTTATCCCAGGGGTTATTTCCATAAACCACCTTTATTCGGCGCCACTTTTAAACCCAGCCAGCTAAAATATTAGGGGAGAGGTGGATTTGTCTTCTGCGGTCCCTTCTACAGCGCGGGCCTTGAAGGGTTAAAGGAAAGAAAAGACCTCCTCCTCCTTTTCCTAGAGTGGCCCCCAGGAGAAGCTGCACTGAGGGGAGGGGGCCGTTCCTCCCCTGCGTGGTCCCGACCTTCCGCCCCATACGGAGCCACTGCCTGGACTGTTTTGCGATTGGCTTCGAGTCCCAGCTAGCGCGAGGGGTTTCGGGAGTTGTAGTCCAGCAACGTCCGGACGGCAATGTGTTTGGAAAGGGAATGAATTAAAATGCTAGAAACTTGTGATCAAACTTTTGCAATTCGACAAAGGGGTTAAATTGGCTGAGTGTTGATTTCCTAGAAAAACAGAGAGCTGTTTTGGCAAGGAGGGTCACAGATGGTGTAATCTACTTCCTGCTCCGTTTCCCGTGGGAAAGTAGGATTTCACTTTCCCAGGTTTAGGATCCACGGTGATATATTTATTTTTCTGTGTTTTAGGTATGAGTATGGGCGTGGGGGAACCGTGCCTAGCAAAACGAGATGATGGAGTTAAGGTTTCTGGTTTTGCTTTATTTTTAAGTGCTGGCTGAGCTGGGATGAGGTTGATCGCTGTTGCCCGCCAGGCAGGAATTAAACCGGTGTAGTTTCTCTCCAGCAGCGCCTTTTTTATATGTTGGGAAAGGGCCTCTGCTAAATTTCTGCTGCAAAGTTCACACGTTGTGCTAAGCCCGATTTATACTGAACAATCTTTAGCAATCTGGTTGTGCATGATAACGCTAAACTCAAACCCTAATCACATGGCTTAATGATGTGTGCACGTTTTGGATTTCTGTACTTAGAAATGACCTTCTTTTTAAAAACTGTGAACTTTTCTAATAGCCCCCCCCCTCCTGCTTTACAGAAGACAATTTTTTTTTTTTGATCCAGCAGACATCTGGCTTATAATCTATGAGAAAGGAAAGCAGATGGGTCTTGAGTTGCAAGCCTGATACCTGGCTAGGCGTCTCTGGTGCTCATAAAATGCTACGAAAAAGATATAGGTTATTTCTAAATTGCATCCCCCACGAGAGCATCTCAAGTGCCATTCTTACTAATATATGAGCAGCTGCTCTATGTCTACTTCAGAATAAAGAATGATAAGTTATATTATACCTAGTATATACAGTGGCCATTAAAATATATCCTGCCTTTATTGTTTTTATAAATAAGTCAAGACTGCAAACATGCCTAATATTCCTTTCTTCTCCTATTTTCCCAGTCAACAACTGTGTGAAAGGAACTGGGTTGAGAATGAGCAATTAACTAACCCAAAGTCACCCAACTACCTTCCATGCCTAAGGTGGGGCTAGAACTCACAGTCTCTAGAAGGTGTGGCCCTTTACTACTAGATCAAATTGCTCTTGGAATTCTTGGGAAAAAATTAAAGGGCAGATCTGGAAAAAAGTGGCAAATCTGAAAAAGCTTCATAAGGATAAAAAAACCTTTATGTTTACAACTTTGTTTTACAAAGCAAAAAATTCAAGAACAAAACCAAGAAAATAATTTTAATTTAATTTAAATAAATCTAAAGGGCAGCTTTCTGAAATATTCTGCAAGTAATGAGGATGACCATTTGTTGATTAAATTATAATTTCTATGTAGCGTGCTGTCCATTGTGTACAAACTTTATACAATTTATTACCGGTAAAAAAATTTAACAGCAGTAATGGCTAATAAAAACTAAATTAGGACAATGAAAAAAGAGAAATAACAAAAAATAAAAATAAAGGTGCAATAAAAAAGTAGAAAAGAGAAAAATATAAAAAAATATATAAAGTAGCTTGTAATATTCTTCCCAGCAGCTGTAGGTACAATTATAACCTCTTTCTAAAGCTCCATCTTGACTCTCTTCTATCTATACTTTGTCACAAACATCTTTAGTTTGTTAATAACCTTCGCTATCTAAAATTGAATAGATTTGCCAGCTTGTGATTTTATTTTGCATTTCTTGGCCTTGCTCAACTCTTGTCCTCTTTTTAAAATTTCTCCTTAGGGACTCAAAGCGCTTCTCATGGCAAGAAAACTGATACTGCTCAACTACCCCATGGTCTGAAATACACTGTGGGGTGTTGATATCCAAAGCAGCCGCTTCACTGGGTGGGATTCACACATTCAGTTGGCTCAAGCCGTCATCGGTGGCTGGAAGAGGACATGGCCTCTGAGCAAAGAGTTGTGATGCCTCTGGGTCTTTTTCAAGAGGCTGGAATTCAACAGGAAGTGAAAGCAGAGCAGGCAGAGTTCATCCTATTTGAATCGGGGAGCAAGAAAGACCCGCCCATCTTGCTCACTGGCCACAGAGAGGAATTCTGGGAAAGAACCGGGGTTGGCTGTCCAAACGGACTGCAGCAGCCCTGGGAAGCCCAGCTGCAGGCTTTCTTGAGAGCGATGGAGTCTTCCCAACCTCGGGCAAGTGGGAAAATGAACCATCCAAGGTTCAGCGCGGATGTCCAGCTGATGGCCAACAGTCTCCTGGCAAAAGACCAAGGGGAGGAGGGTGGGAAGGTGAAGGAAGAGATCCAGCCCATCGAAGAAGCATTGGGCACCGATCTGGAGCGCCAACGTTTCCGGCAGTTTGGCTACCAAGAGGCTGAAGGCCCCCGAGAGGTTTGCCACCAGCTCTGGGAACTTTGCAACCGGTGGCTGAAGCTGGAGAGACACACCAAGGAGCAGATCCTGGAGCTGGTGGTTCTGGAGCAGTTCCTGGCCATCCTTCCCGCAGAAATGCAGAGCTGGGTGAGGCAAGGGAGGCCGGAGAGCTGCCCCCATGCTGTAGTCCTGGCAGAGGGTTTCCTGCTGAGGCAGCAACGTGGAGCAAAGCAGGTGGGGCAGGTAAGAGGCTGGGTGGTTAAACCTGAGAGTCAGAGTGGGGGATTGGGAGTAGGGAATCTTCCATTCGGTTGGACTTCCATTCCCTAATCCACACTTGGAATACTGCATCCAGCTTTGGTCGCCACAAGATAAAAAAGATGTTGAGACTCTGGAAAGAGTACAGAGAAGAGCAACAAAGATGATTAGGGGACTGGAGGCTAAAACATACAAGGAATGGTTGCTGGAATTGGGTATGTCTAGTTTAATGAAGAGAAGGATGAGGGGTGACATGATAGCAGGAATAGCCAACACTCCAGAAGACAGGCTTAAGATACAGAAGGATCTTGACAGATTTGAACACTGGGCGCTATCTAACAAAATGAAATTCAATGGTGAGAAAAGTCAGGTTCTACATTTAGGCAAGAAAAACCAAATGCACAGGTACAGTACAGGGGGTACCTTGCACAATAGCAGTAACTGTGGGAGGGATCTCGGAGTCCTAGTGGACAATCACTTAAATATGAGCCAGCCGTGTGCTGCAGCTGCCAAAAAGGCCAACACAGTGCTGGGCTGCATTAACAGAGGGATAGAATCAAGATCACGTGAAGTATTAATACCACTCTTCAATGCCTTGGTAAGGCCACACTTGGAATACTGCATCCAGTTTTGGTCACCATGATGTAAAAAAAAATGTTGAGACTCTAGAAAGAGTAGAGAGAAGAGCAACATAGATGATTAGGGGACTGGAGGCTAAAACATATAAGGAACGGTTGCTGGAATTGGGTATGTCTAGTTTAATGTCTAGTTTAATGAAGAGAAGGACTAGGGGGGACATGACAGCAGTGTTCCAATATCTCAGGGGCTGCCACAAAGAAGAGGGAGTCAAGCTACTCTCCAAGGTGCCTGAAGGCAGGACAAGAAGCAATGGATGGAAACTGATCAAGGAGAGAAGCAACCTAGAACTAAGGAGAAACTTCCTGACAGTTGGAACAATTAACCAGTGGAACAACCTGCGTTCAGAAGTGGTGAATGCTCCAACACTGGAAGTTTTTAAGAAGAGACTGGACAGCCATTTGTCCGAAATGGTATAGGGTTTCCTGCCTGAAACTAGATGACTAGATGACCTCCAAGATCCCTTCCAACTTTATTATTATTATTATTAGATAGTGCTCCAGATGTTTGGGGATTTGCACCCAAGGGGCCTATTACTATCAGTATTGTCTTTGCTTGCTTTCTATGTTCTACTTCTCTGTGCTGGTCTTTTATACATTTTGTCTTTTCCCCCAGTATCATTTATTAAGACCGTATGTTTTATAATTTATTTATACTGTATAATTTACACTGCGTAATTTGTAATCATTTACACTACGTAATTTATTATTCTTTGCGTCTGGTTCTTCTCGCTTTCCTCTTTTGCTTTACAAAAGTCCTTAATTTGAAGTCGGTAGAAATCTTTGCTCGTCTCCCGTTTGAATTCAGGTGGGTTTCCGCAAAGGTTGGGCTGGATCCCCTGAACTGAGAACCCTCCTTTCCAGTGAACGGCAGAAGCCCCCCTTTATGGAGATCAGACAAGAGACGGACAAGGAATCACACTTGCTGTTAGGTAAGGAGCCTTTGGGATGGTATCCTCACCCTCTTTTGGGGTTTTAGTGCAGTGGTTCTCAACCTTTTTAATGCCGTGACCCCTCCCCCAACCGGTCGTAAATCGAGGACTACTCAACCGGTCGTAAGTCGAGGACTACTCAAGTGGTGCAGTACTGTTTGCAGAATGGGACTTTTGGCGGGCTCAGCAGGGCAGAGACAGCCTGGACAATTCCTATTGGCTTTTGAAAGCCAATAGAATTAGACTCCATTCAAGAGAGTCTATTCTAATGGCTTTCAAAAGCCAATAGAATAAAAGGGAGTAGCACAGCTAAGGAAAAGGGGGGAAAAATGGCAGACTGCGTTGTTTGGTGACCCCCGTGAAATGGTCGTTCGACCCCAAATGGGGTCCCGACCCACAGGTTGAGAATCGCTGGCTTAGTGGGTCCCAAGCAGTGGGGTCTCCCAACGGTGGGAGATGACTGCTCAAAAGCCCCCACCCCATCTGTCCGATTGCCACGGGATGACAAGGCTAGTGTTCTTCCCCAGCCTACGGGAGTCCTTGTTAAGCTCACAAGGAGAAACTCCTCTTCCAAACAAGCAGACTAGAACCGCAGGGAAAAAACCAATCCCCTTTTATTATTCAAAGACCCGAGTCAGTGTCGAAGGCAAACAAACACAGTCCACAGAAACTCGATCCTCAACACGAACGGTTGCCTTCGGCAACCAGTACCTCCCACACCTTCCCTTTTATTATGCAGCCAAGGCCTGGCTTCCTAATTCTCCTTTGCCTTTGGAGCCACCCCATTGCATTCCTCTGTCCTACTCTCTTTTCTTGCCGGCGTTTTCGTGCATCCTGGATATCTCTCAACTGTGATTCATCACTGTCCAACTCAGGCTCCCAGCACAGCTGTGTCTCAGCCTGAGCACGAGTAGAGGGGCCAGGCTCCTTGTCGGACTATAAATCTGGAGCTCTTCAGAGCCTTCCTCTGACTCTGATGTCACTCCAGGTCCCTCCTCTGATTCCTCAGACTCAGCTGCCGGGTCCACTGGCTGGCGAGGAACCACCACAGCTAGGGAGATGTACCAGTGGCCAAGAATCATAATACTAGCCAAATTCATTGTAGCTTAGCTAAATGATCTTTTGCTGAAGACAAGACTGAGACTGCAGGGATCTTGTCTGCTCTCCAGTGGCTAAGCAGGGTTGGTGATGGAGACCAATAAGAAATCCCCAGTATGGGTAGTCCTTGACTTACGGGTGGTTGCTTGGTGACCATTATGACGGTTTTAGGAAAGCATCAAAACATTCTTAAAGACTCACCTCATTCCGGGCGTTCTTTTTTTTTTTTCTTTTAACTATTACCATCTGGCAAACGGTACAGGATAATAAAAATAAATAGGCTGAAAAATAGCTTTTATCCCAGCGCTGTAACCATATTAACTACTAATGGCTAAAACACATAAGGAATGGTTGCTGGAACGGGTATGTCTAGTTAAATGAAGAGAAGGACGAGGGGGGACAGGATAGCAGTGTTCCAATATCTCAGGGGCTGGCCCAAAGAAGAGGGAGTCAAGCTATTCTCCAAAGCGCCTGAAGGCAGGACAAGAAGCAACGGATGGAAACTGATCAAGGAGAGAAGCAACCTAGAACTAAGGAGAAACTTCCTGACAGTTAGAACCAGTGGAACAACCTGCCTCCAGAAGTGGTGAATGCTCCAACACTGGAAGTTTTTAAGAAGTCACTGGACAGCCATTTGTCCGAAATGGTATAGGGTTTCCTGCCTGAGCAGGGGGTTGGACTTGATGACCTCCAAGGTCCCTTCCAACTTGTTGTTCTTGTTGTTGTTGTTATTATTATTATTATATAGTGCAACATTGAAGTGCAATATTAGGGCAGCGTATTGGTGAATAAAATGTGAAGGATGTGTGTATATAATGTAGGTTTTTATTTGTGGTTTTTACGCTGTGGATAGCACTTAATTTCGTTGTGAGTTACACAGTGACAATAAAGATATTCTATTCTATGATGGACCACCTAAAAGATACCGACAACTCAGATTTCAAGTTTTGAGGGCCACCTGCCTGTTCCCTGTTCACAGGATTGGATTTTGGGTCACCTGGCAATTGGACTGTATTTCCAGCCATTTCTAGCATCCCAGTCCTGTGATCCCAACTTACATTTTTGCTGAAATAAGCATTTCCAGTTTTCAGCAAACCGCACTCATTTTGGACAATGGGTTCACTCAATGACTGCGGTGCAAAAAAAAAAAAAAAAAAAGTCAAATTGGGTCAGTCGTGTCATGGCCTCTTTAATGGCCAGCACAACTTACAACTGTAATTCATTTACGGTCATAAGTCGAGGACTGCTTTGTGGGAGATGTCAAAGAAAAAAACATTGTGGAAGAAGAAAGAGGCAGATATTCAACACAGAAGCATCTCTTTAATCGCAGAAGCTGATCCTGCTCCCTGCTTTAACTAAGGATTTCTCCTAGCTCACCCTATTTTTTTTTTGTCTCCTGGTGGTTTCATTAGTACAGCGGTTCTCAACCTGTGGGTCGCGACCCCATTTGGGGTCGAACGACCATTTCACGGGGGGCGCCAAACAACGCGATCTGCCATTTTTTTTCCTCAGCCGGCGCAGGGGGCGCCGCGGCGCATGCGTGCCATGCAGGGGGCGCCGCCGCACATGTGTGCTGCGCAGGGGGCGCCGCCGCACATGCGCGCCACCTCCTTATGACCGGGGTCGCCGGTATAAAAAGATTGAGAACCACTGCATTAGTACTATTTAAAATATTTTAATATTCACTTTGGGGGCAATGTTTGGGGCAGGAATCTTAACATGGAGTCAGGAAGTCAGACTTTTCTATTTTGATACGCCCTGGGACAGTGATGGTGAACCTTTTAGAGACCGAGTGTCCAAACTGCAACCCAAAACCCACTTATTTATCGCAAAGTGCCAGGGCCGCATCAACATTGTGATGCCCTCAGAGGGGTGTGGGGTGTGTGTGGCCCGCTGGATGGGCATGGCTGTGCTGGTCACAACAGACTGAGTAGGCATGGCTGGGGTGGGCATGGCCGCCATGATGTTGCTCATGGGGGGACACCTGTGGGGCTAGTTTATGGGGGGGGAAATCAAACACTATTTTCACTAACATCTAATTAAAATTTAGGTTTTGTTACTGATCTATTGGGCTAGTAAAGAAATTCATCTAGCACTGTTATTTATTCATATTAAATGTATATACCACACATCTCATTTTCCAGAGCAACTATGAATGGCTTACGCCAGTATGATAAAATCATAAATATAAAGACATTAAAATTAAGAAGAATTAGAAAAAGGCTAAAAAATCAAGACCACGAAGAACATAATAGGACGACAGTATGGGTATTCCACTCACATCATAGAGCAGGAGGTCTTCAAACTTGGCCCTTTGATGGCTTGTGGACTTCAACTCCCAGAATTCCTCAGCCAGGCACATGTGCCTGGCTGAGGAATTCTGGGAGTTGAAGTCCACAAGCCATCAAAGGGCTAAGTTTGAAGACACCTGTCATAGAGTACCCTCATCAGGGCCCCAAGCCAACTGGCAGAGCCAGTTTTTAAGGTCCTTCAACGAAAGCCAAAAGGGTGGGGGCCAATCTCACATCTGCTAGCAAGAGGTTACAACACTATAGATTTGTTATTTTTAATATTTTGATTATAGTATTTGAGCACAAGTGCATTTCGCTTGTAACACAGCCCATAGCTATATATTTTATTTAATGCATTTAGGTACATTTGTCTGAGAAGGGGTCCGTCGGCTTCCTTTTATTCTTCCATCTGCAATTTATGCAAAAACTTGGTCTTGAAGGCTGCTTGATGCTCTCTGAAATTGCTTTTTTTCTTGCAGACGTTTCATTACCCAAACTCGGTAACATCATCAGCGCCAGTCTGATCACTGTGATTACCCAAGCTAGATTTGATAGTGATAGTGGGCAATGATGATATTAACCTAGTTTGGGTAATGAAATGTCTGCAAGAAAACAAGCAAGCTCAGAAGACCAACGACCCCACAGATTCAACCCTGAGTTACAAATTCTGAATTGTCATTTTTCCAATGACTCCCTCATTTTTCCAAGGACCCCCTCATTTCAGCCCTGAGCTACCAATATTCTCCTTTATTAAAATTCCTTTTATTAGTTTTGCAGCAGTCCAGAGCGAACATCCGTATCCCAGGGCAGTGATGGCGAACCTATGGCACCCGTGCCAGAGGTGGCACTCAGAGCCCTCTCTGTGGGCACACCTGCCGCCGCCAGTTCACGCAGGCCCATTAGGCCGCCTCTGGCGCCTGAAGCAGCAGACCCACCCAGCACAAAGGAGGCAAAGCTGCTGGCTACCAAGCTTGAGTAGAGATGGAAGAACACGTCCCCATGCACTCACTGGCCTCTGTGTGCGGGGGCTGATGGTGTTAGGCAGCAGCCACCCCTGCCTCATCTTGCCCCACAGCAATGGCACCCCCGCTGTACCCCCTGCCTCACAAGGAATCAGTGGGCCTACTGTATTCCTGTCATTGGGTGATCTAAGTGTACAATAAATCTAAACATGGATTATTTTTATTTATTTATTTTTTTAAAAAAGGAGAAACATCAGGTCATTAAAACCCAGTGTTATTTCAGGGTGATTCTGGGGTAGATTGGTAGATCTCTGTCCAGAGCAGGGCTAGGCCACCTTGGCTCTTTTATGACTCGTGGACTTCAACTCCCAGAATTCCTGAGCCAGACATGCTGAGGGGAAAGGGAGAGGTTTCCATGCTGAGCCAGGCTGGCTCAGGAATTCTGGGAGTTGAAGTCCACGAGTCATAAAAGAGCCAAGTTTGAAGACCCCTGGTTTAAATATTTAAATATTATTCCTCACAGTCACGTGATCAAAATTCAGGCATTTGGCAGGGGTAGGCAACCTTGGTTCTTTGATGACTCGTGGACTTCAACTCCCAGAATTCCTGAGCCAGCCATGGCTCAGCTTGGAAACCTCTCCCTTTCCCCTCAGCATGGCTGGCTCAGGAATTCTGGGAGTTGAAGTCCACGAGTCACAAAAGAGCCAAGATGGCCTACCCCTGGTCCAGAGATTAGCGTCCCAAATGGAAAAATGACAGTTCAGATTTTGTAACTCAGGGCTGAATCTGTGGGGTCGTTGGTCCACTGAGCTTGGTTGTTTTCTTGCAGAGGTTTCATTACCTAAACTAGGTAACCTCATCAATGCTAGTTACCTAGTTTGGCCAATGAAACGTCTGCAAGAAAACAACCAGGCTCAGAGAGCACTAAGGACCCCTCAATTCAGATTTTCACCAGAGGGTTCCCTCTTTTTTTCTAGGAGACGCGGAAGAGGAAAGCAAGTTGGGAAAGAAGAATAACTCGGAAACTTCCAGAAGAGCTGAGCCAAACTATCTGAAGCAAGATGGTGCCACTGTAAGCCTGACAGAAACTTATCTTGAAAAAGATTTGGACCAGTTCATCAATTCCCAGGGACGGTATGTTGAGTTGGATAGTGGCACATCTCAGCTAACAACCCCTGCAGGCCGAAGCCAGAACCCTCTAAGTGAGTGTGAGAAACCCTGTGCGTGCTGCAGCAAGGATTTACAACTCAAGTGCAACTTCCGAGCGCAGGAGAGAATCCACACAGGCGAAAAGCCATACAAGTGCTCCATGTGTGGCAAGGGCTTCAGCACGAGGGCGTATCTGGTCACCCATGCGAGGATCCACACGGGCGAGAAGCCCTACCGGTGTTCCGACTGCGGGAAGGGTTTCTGCGACAACTCCAACCTCATAGTCCACAAAAGGACTCACACAGGCGAGCGACCGTACCAGTGCACTGATTGTGGAAAGAGCTTCCGGGAACGCCCGGTCCTTATTCGGCACCAGCGGATCCACACGGGAGAGAAGCCCTACAAGTGCCGAGACTGCGGGAAAGAGTTCAGCCAGAGCTCAGGTCTTTTGGTGCACGAACGCACTCACACCCGAGAGAAGCCATACACCTGCACCGATTGTGGGAAGGGCTTTGGGGGCAACTCAAACCTGAGGGTGCACATGAGGATCCACACGGGGGAGAAGCTGTACCTGTGCTCCAATTGTGGGAAAATGTTTGGAGACAGATCGCTTCTCGTCAGGCACCAGAACAGCCACCAAGAAGAGAAATGTTGATGAAAATCAAAATCTAGATTTGGAGTGCTGACGAAATCATAGATATTCATGCACCCTGCTAACTGCAAAGTCTGTCTGCATAGGACAGTATTTGTCATACTGGGGCACTTTAAGATGTGTGGACTTCAACTCCCAGAACCCCTCAGTCAACATGGCTGGCTGGGGAATTCTGGGAGTCGAAGTCCACACATCTTACAGTGGCCAAAGTTGAGAAGCACTGGTGTAGCGTACATCTAATGCACGTTGTGGACACCGCAACCTAAAATGGACACCAACAAATTTGGGAGTGAATTCTGAGGACTAACAGGATTTGTTGGTGGGAGGGGGAAAGGCAAGTCCTGTGAAGAACATAGTGCGTTTAATCTCCAGAAAACAGTACTGAAATGAAAACAGTATCTTAAATGTAAATAATAATAACAATAGGTTTTCAGGGTTTTGAAAAATAGGAGGGAAAGGCAAAATAATAGTCATATATTGACTAAAATAATGATCACCAAGAGAAATTCTAAGAAAATAGAAGTTTAATCAACCTAGCTTTCGTCAAATACACTTGACATCATCAGGGTTAAAAAGGCAGATGCTGAGAGAAGTCTTTTATACAGTTATTAAATGCCTGCTTCCGGCTCTCAGAGCGTGTTGTCGGCCCCAGCTGATCGGGCTGTGTTTTAAGAGGGCCACAGTTGTAATGGATAGGGTGCTTTATGTAACCAAAGCACTACAGCTATTAAATGATAGAACGGCTTATAGGGTCATCAGGAAGGATCCCACAGTGACATTAAAAAGCAGAATTAACAAATTACTTGATAACTTCAAACGAGCAAAAAAACTTCATAATGACACCCTGAGGAGAATACGACCCAATGACTCGGCCCTCCCAAGATTTTATGGTCTACCAAAAATCCATAGGAAAGATACCCCACTTCGCCCCATTGTCTCATTTAGAGGCACCCCCATTTCGGGATTGGCGAAGTGGCTTAGTAACCGTATCTCCTATTTAGTTGATGGCAACCCCACTATAGTTAGATCTGCAGAGGAATTTCTGGAGAGGATTAAGACTCTCAAGGTGGAGAAAGATGAGGTGATGGTCTCTTTTGACGTCACCTCTTTACCTCCATCCCCCAAGATCTAGCAGTTAAGGTCCTAAGAGACCAATTAGAAAAACAAGAAAAGACTAAACACTGTGATTCCTTGCAAACCGAGGATTTAACACAACTTATAGAGTTGTGTTTAACAACTTATTTCACCTTCCAAGGTATCATCTATGAGCAAGTAAAAGGTACACCTATGGGCTCCCCAATATCCAGCATGGTGGCAGAGGCGGTCCTCCAACAATTAGAAAGTGAGGCTATGACCCGTCAACAACCTAAATTTTGGGCCCGGAATGTTGACGACACCTTTGTCGTCATCAAACGATGTCACCTAGCTGACTTTATGGGAATATTAAATTCAATATACCTGGATATAAAATTTACAGTGGAGGAGGAGATCCAGGGCTCGATAACCTTTCTAGATGTATTGGTCCAGCGCTCATTGGATGGAACTTTGAACACCAAGGTTTATCGAAAGCCCACTCACACTGATCGTATCCTCCACTACCACAGCAATTATCCAGCCTCCCATAAAGCCAGCTGCATTAGAACCCTGTTTAAATGGGTACATTCGCACTGCAGCACAGCTGAGTCAAAAGCAGAAGAAAAGAAACATTTGTTCTGCGTCTGCCAAATGAACGGATATCCCCTAAGGTTCATTAAATGGCATAGCACGACACCAAAACCCCACAGTAGACAGCAAGGGGAGGAACCCCCAACACGAACCGTACGGGTGTCTCTACCATATATTAACAATGTGTCTGAAGCCACGGCCAGGTTACTGGCACTGCATAATATACAAGTAGCCCACAAGCCCAATCAGACTTTACGAGCAAAAGTGATGCGCCCTAAGGACCAACTACCCACCGCCAAGAGATCAGCGATAGTCTATAAAATTGATTGCATGGGATGCCAGAGTAATTATATAGGTGAAACATCGAAGAGTTTAAAAACACGCCTACATGAACATAAACTGGCAATTAGGAGGGGTGAACAACATTCACAGATTTGGGCTCATGTAGCTGAGTATGATCATTACTTTGATTTTGAGAACACCCAAATCTTAGCTAATGACGCTACAAAGGGAGGCCGCCTACTGAAAGAAGCATGGTTCTCAGGAACAGATTCAATCAATCGACATGTAGACTTGTGCTCAGCACACCAGGCTCTGAGAACGTGGAACGCTAACTACCAGTCCAACGTCCAAAGGAAATTCAATTACAAACCATATGGCCGGGTGAAGGACATCCCCCTGAGCCCCCACCCCTCTCTACTTAATTATATTGACGGAGCTCCGATTGACAGCTCCCCACCACCAGACATGCAGCTTCCATCTGGCCATCCGCAGGCCGATCCTGGCGGATGGTCACTGCAAGATTCCTTGCGACACCCTGAAGGTGGATTCTCCTTAGAACGGAAGGGTAGTATGCAGAGCAATGGAATAAGACTTGTGGGATCGGAAGACGAATGAGATATAGTGAAGTCTGAGGGTGGTGGCGAGAGTGAGCTGTCTTCCAGTTGTCCCGTTAAACATGAAATGACGACCCGATCAGGATCGAATAAAGGGACCCCCCCCTTCCTCCCCCCGTGCATTCGACATGAGGACAGTCAGTTGAACAACAATTGCAGCCAAGATGGAAGAGCCCCGCAAGGGACGAAGGTGAAAAACCGAAGACAAATAACGGCACTCACCAGCAATGGACTGATCAACAGAGTGCTATCAATGGGATGATAACAAATGATGTTCTGGGCTTACATGAGATAAGAGACGCTAAAACGAATAACAAGCCATTAAGGACGACACATAGAGAGGATGAGAGGAAGAATAACACGAAATGGGAGGAGGAACTTACATCATGGCTCAAGGAGATAAATAAACAAGAGCAAAACGGGTCCAAATCCCTCAGGAGCACGAGAAGTGATTCAGACATCCCCCCCACCCCTCAGAGAAAGCTGTACGCAGAGCGGTGGAGGAACTGTATACAAGGGAGAGGGAGTATCCCAAGCCTAAACCACCCAACTCCAAAGTAGTAGATAGAGCATGTAAAGAAACTCAGACTAAGAAAAAGAAAAAAAATATGCGGTGACTTAAGAAGTGCACTTAAAACAGCCCGATCAGCTGGGGCCGACGACACGCTCCGAGAGCCGGAAGCAGGCATTTAACAACTGTGTAAAAGACTTCTCTCAGCATCTGCCTTTTTAACCCTGATGATGTCAAGTGTATTTGACGAAAGCTAGATTGATTAAACTTCTATTTTCTTAGAATTTCTCTTGGTGATCATTATTTTAGTAAAATGGAAATTCCCAAGAGTTGAATTTTTACTTATATTTTTAATATCTATCTATCTATCTATCTATCTATCTATCTATCTATCTATCTATCTATCAGCAATTAGTCTAAAAATTCGAGTACCCAGGTATATTTATTTGTAAAAAAAGGCATATTAAAATACTGATCTCCAAGACAGAGAGTTTTGTTGTATACTAAGCTTTCGTTAGTCCCTGCTAACGTTGTCAAAGTGTAAGCTAACATTGGGTAGGCTTCGCCTTTATAGTTCTTTAAGTGTCGTTAATTTGGCCATTGAATGCATTATAGGTCTGTCCACCCGCCTGCCTCCACCCCTGATTGGATGCATCAACCCTAATTCGGTTATATTGGTCGGTGTTCGCCTTGCTCTCTCAGCTCTACCTCTCCCTATCTGCCCCACTGGCTGGGCATGTTTGTCGTATAACACCAGACTATCCGATGCTGCCTTGCAATCACTCCCCCCACCATTGCAGTTCAACGCGCTGTCAGCATGCCGTGTGGTTGCTCCGGCTGGCGATCTCTCAGCTGCACTCCCCGCACCGTTTGTCCCAGTCCGCCGCTGCCTCCTCGATTTTGCCGCAGCTCTTGAGTTGACGATTTCTCAGATTGAGACCACTGAGGAGACAATTCCATCAGACAACATCTAACGGGGCTCCTCACCAGCCACAGACAGAACCACACCCTATCAAAATCGGAGGAGGCCACCCTCGAGGAACTGAACAAAGACAATTCAATTGTCATTCTGCCGGCTGACAAAGGCAGGGTGACAGTAATCATGTACAGGTCTGAATACAGTCAGAAAGCATACACCCTACTTCATGATAGGAGCTCGTACCGAACCGTCAACAAGGACCCGATGATATCGCTCAAGAATCAGATCAACAAGGTGACTGACAGGCTCAACAAGCAAAAGAAGGTCCATGAGGAAGACCTGAACATGATCCGACCCAGGGACTCAGCCATGGCACGAATTTATGGTTCACTAAAAATCCATAAAGCAGGTGTCCCTTTACGCCCAGTCGTCTCACTTAGGGGTACCCCAACCTTTGGGTTGGCAAAATGGCTAAGCAGACGACTCCAACATCTGGTCGAAGGCACCAGGACTACAGTGAAAGAGGATTTCCTGAGGAGCCTGAAAGTAACAACAGTCGAGGATGATGAAGAAATGGTATCTTTTGATATAACATCATTATTCACCTCGATCCCTCAAGGATTGGCTTGTTGCGAAGAGAGGGAAACATCAGCACAGTTTGCCCGAGAACTAGGAGAGGAACAGCAGACCAGCGGAGGCAGTGCGGCGCACAGGATAGGAGAAATGCTACCAGAGGAGGATCACACTACGACTCACGGGGGCCGTAGGACGAGACAAATCGGAGGTTGATCCAGCAACAACCTCAGACAACCAGATACGAGCGGAGCAGGTGGGGAAAGTAGAAATGAGAGTAGAAAAGATGTCAAGATCCAAACCCCTCTGGGTTTCGAACCTGGGCAGCTTGCACGTTAGGCAGTTGTTAAGAGCTTGAAATAGCTATACTAGTCTCCCACTAACTCTTTGTCAGCCACAAAAATTTTTGAATTTACAGTGTTCACAGTACGTGATGTCTGCCTGCAAAACATGCTCCTAGATTGGAGCGAAACGCAGAACAGACTGATTTATCCTATACTTGGTAGACCGGGTGCTCCAGCCCAGGGCTTTTCAACCAGTGGTACGGGTACCACCTGTGGTATATTGGCACCTGCCA